GACATCAGCTGACATTGACAACATCAGCATAACCTCAAAGCAAGACAGCAATATCCAAAGAAGCCTTTATAGCAGAAAAATCACAAGAACACATCTTTTGAATAATCCAACAGAATTATTTATTTCTACACAACAGTGCAATATTATTATAATTGTTTACACTCATTAAACCTTGTTTTAAAATAAATATATTATATTTTTCAGCCTTGTCCGTTATTGATTTCCTTTAAAATTATCCTGCCGAGAGACTAATCCACTGAACTATTGAATTGGCAGTTCGAGCCATAAGCTAACCCTTTAAATCCGAACACACATACTACACATTTCTACAACCCTTCCACTTGACTCCCCCACCTAAGTATCTGCTAGGGCGAGCGGCAAATTATTAAAGCTATCGAAACACTGGCAGTTCGAGCCAGGAAATAACACTAATTGCGAACAAATAAAAAATTTCTATAATTAATTTTGTTCGGAATTAAAGCATTTTCCAAGACTTTTAGCTCTCGAATTTTATAAACATTTGATTCCGTGAATTTTCGAGTATTCTAAAGCTTTATTTTCGAACGTCCTACAATGTTTGTCTCGTCACCGCATAGCAACGTTGGTTGTAATTTTCCAACCTCTGAAGCTTTACTTTCCTGGAGTTCTCTAAACTTCTAAAGCTTTAGACTCAAACATCATGTTAGCTGCCGCGTTGATATTTAACGGAAGCACACCACGTGTAGATATTCATTGTTATTAAGCCAGCCAGAAGTTTATGAATCAACCATGATAGTCAGTAACGCTATTCAACCAAAGTCTACAGACATAAGCTACTCACTCAGTTACGCTTTTTCAGTGAAGCCATTATAAGGATCACATGCTCAATTCTCAAGTGCGCAACAGTTAACAAGCAGTCAATGATCCTGAGAGCATTGCAATAAAATATATGACTATAAGAAGCATGGCATCGAAGCAGTCCTTATCTCGAAGGTATGTATTACGGATTACAACAGTTTTAAGCGAAATACAAAGTGGGAGAGATATGAGCGCGTGCAGCATTGTTTGGTAAACATTGGTCAACAGACTCGACGAATGCTTCTAACCGAAAAATACGAACATACGACTATAATTCCGAGAAATATTAACAAATGAACCCCGAAAAAGCTATGCGCAATTTACGTCACGAGAAACAGCGGCATAGTAACAGCCACAGATACGCAATCGGCGCATCGATTTCGTCCGAGAATATTTAAGGAGCTACAAGCGTCGCGATTCCTCCTTTAGTTCAAGCACCCAGCACAACAGGATCGCCACTCTTCTCATCACACAGTTCCCGCCGCTGAATGCAAATAACGCCAGCTCTCATTCTTGCATATTAACTCGCCACGCGATCGCCACTCTGCTAGCTCATCACACGGTTCCCGCCACTGAATGCAAATAACGCCAGCTCTCATTCTTGCATATTAACTCGCCACGCGATCGCCACTCTGCTAGCTCATCACACGGTTCCCGCCACTGAATGCAAATAACGCCAGCTCTCATTCTTGCATATTAACTCGCCACGCGATCGTCACTCTGCTAGCTCATCACACGGTTCCCGCCACTGAATGCAAATAACGCCAGCTCTCATTCTTGCATATTAACTCGCCACGCGATCGTCACTCTGCTAGCTCATCACACGGTTCCCGCCACTGAATGCAAGTAACGCCTGCTCTCGTTCTTGCATATTACATCACCGAAAGGTTACTGATACTACTTCACACAGTCCCGCCACCACGTGCAAGCAACGCCGACATTCGTTCTTGCATAGTACCTGACAACGCGATTTATGCCCGCATGTAAGTAACGTCGAAGCTATTTCTTACCTTTACCTGTACACCGCGAGTTACGCTCGCATCGAGTACACGAAAGTGCACCAACTCACCACTACCTTGGAGCTCACAGACACAAGCTGTGACGTCACACGGACGTTCTCCCTCCACTTCGTACACTACAGCTCACCCCTTCGCCGGCTACCAAGAGGACACTAACTTGCTTCCCCTACCACCACGAGTTCCCCACTACGACTACTAAACCCAAGAAGAAGAGAAATCACGCTTCGGGCCATCAAGAACAGACGCGGAGACTCATCGTCACCACTACTACTGAAGAAACACTTATATATTCACGATATCATACACTCAGTCTAATAATTAATAAATTATTAATTACTCATTACTTATTACATCAATAAAAGTAACAACTGCAAACAGAAAGAACAGTATTGAATAATTGCATTGCCCCTTCCACTTGCCAGCAAGCCTCCACCCACCATCATAAGGAGGTTTTTAGTCTGATCCCAGACAGTATGCCTGTAGACTTTCTTTCAAGTAACTATTCATCACACTGTGAGTGAGAATAATAGCACTTCATTGCCAGAGGTTCCTATGTACATGAATTTAAATTCATTTATAAATAGTCTTTCCTTTTTGTTATTATTTTTTCAATGAACTATATTTACATGAATTGCTTAGAATGTGCATTTATTACGTAATTTATCATAGATTTTAAGATTTCTGATATTATTTGGATGTATTATTTAATTTATTATAGATTATAAGGTAAATCTGTTATCAGTGTTTAAATCTAATAAATTTCATAGTAATTAATTTAATTAAATGACTATACAGGTACGTATATAAAGTACGCATAATTAGTTCTTGAATGATATCTATGTATAATTTGGCGTAACTTAGCATTAAAATTATATAAATGCAGCAAGACCAAAATATAAATAAAAAACATAAACATAAACACTTATTTATATAATTATATAATTATTCACCGATGTTTGAATTATAATTAATAAAATAAGAGAGATCTAGAGCGGTATTTATACATTTGTTCCATTCAATGAATTGAAAAAAACATATATTATAATAACAAATAAATAAAATGAATTTTTAATTAAATATGTATTGTTTAATAGTGCAATTGAAACAATTACTTTTCAATTAATTTCAGTCTCATATCGTTTTATCAAGTTGCTCATAATCAACATTATGTGAGACCACAAATAGTAAACGAACACAAAATTTTAATTTACGGCGGTCGTCATCCATTAATTGAACAAACAACAACATTTATTCCAAATGATACACTATCTGAAAATAATGAAAATTTGATCAAAATCATTACAGGACCAAATAGTTGTGGAAAAAGTACTTTTATTAAGCAAACGGCACTAATTGTATTTATGGCTCATATAGGTAGTTATGTACCAGCAAAATTTGCAACAATTGGATTACTATCTCACATATATACTAAAATTACATGTTCTGAAAGTATATCTCTTCAATCTAGTTTTTTTTTGCAAGACATACGACAAGTATATTATTTATAATATTTTGTAAATATATTCCACTGTTATAAATGATTTTTTTTTAAAATAAATACTAAATTATTCAACTTCTTTTTCAGTTTATACACAATCTTCTAATAAATATATTATATACAGTCCAATATCAAATAATATTTAATTAATACAGTAATATTACAGGCATAAATGCCTGTATGCATACACATATGAAGCGTCCAAGGCTTTGTACATAGATAACACCTTTAAATACTTTTCTCTTTGCATATTTTTAATAGCTATGTTTTTGATTATTAGTTTGTGTTTGATCAAGCAAAGTTGGTTAAAAATTAATCATGATAATGACAAGTCTCAACCTTAATTTTTTTCTAATCGGTTTATCTGCTTTTTATGTTAAATACATTATACAATTTTCTATCGTTTTTGTTCATATATATAATTTAATAAAATGTTCTAATTTGATAAACATATATACTGGAGATCTCACTATATCAAAAATACAAATGACAGTTAAATTTGATTTGTAAAATAAAATAAGTAGTCTATAAGAATTATTGGAAAATTCATATGTAAGAATATAACTAATATAAGAATTGTTATGTTTTTTAATAAAAAAAATATAAATATAATTCCATTTAAAAAATTAATAGCTGAAGTAATGTGTTTCAAAATTATTTATTTGTTATAAAATAAAATAATATTTTGGGATTGAAGCAATCTCAAGACCATTGGCTATAATCATCGCTAGTCCCTTTAGCTCTCAAGTTTCTGTAAACACTTGGATACCATATTTTTGAGTACTTGGTATGTTTTGGTTTCAAATACCCTACAATGTTTATATGATCTTCGTAACGTTGCTTGAAATTCTCCAAATTTCTTAAGCCTTGGTTTTTCTTAGATTTTTCGAAATTTCTAGAATTTTCGATCTACGCCTCATGTAAGATTCTATTATAGCAAGAACGATGCTTTGTTGCCAGCTTAGTAAGCTGCCGCGCGGATATTTAAGGGCAATACACTACTCTTATACGTTCATTATATTTTATTCAATCAAACAGTTTCCGTCATTCAACTACGCTATTCAGCCAGTGTTTTCTACCACATACCAGTCGCATAGTTACACTCACACATTGAAGCCAACCCGAAGAATACAAGTTTTAATTATCAAATGTGCTACAACTTACAAGCAATCAAAGGTACTAACTGCATTACGAAAAACTTTACGGCTACAACAAGCTTAGTTTCCAGGTATGTTCATACGTACACTTTGAGGCCACACGTTCTATACAGGTGCGTGAGCATATTACACTTTGAGGCCACACATCCTATATAGGAGTGTGCGCATATATCTGTTAATCCTCACAACATTAACAGAGGCCACGACATCGTCACCATTAAGGAGAAACCACATCATTGAGACAAGACAGAGTTTACACTCTTCTATGAGAAGTGACAGCTGTTCATTATTAATGTAACTATTAATAAACCATATGTTAACGAGGCTTACGAACAGTACACCTTTTTAGAACCCTTTCAATTGGTTTACACTCAAGCATCTGCTAGGGTGGACGACAAATTGTTAAATCTATCGAAACATTGGCAGTTCGAGCCAGGAAATAAAACCACTTTCAAATATAATAAAAAGAATCGATATTTTTATAAAAATAAGTTTTGATAATTTAATATTCTACAATATAATGATAATTTTATTTATGTTAATACATAATATATATACAAATTACATACTAAATATTCAAATTCCTGGACATAAAATTTTTTTAATGAAAAGTGAATTCTTACGAACCAAAAAGAAATATACTGTAATTATATTATCTAATCAACTAGACAACGTTATAAATTTTTAACATTTTTTAAATTTAAACTAAATTATAAAAACTTTAAACTAGCTTATTATATTTATATTTATAAACTAGGGTTTTTCATTTTAATTATTACGCTTCTTATTTAAAGGAACATAATTTTTTAGGCTAGTAGAGCATTATCTTCTTCAAGTAAAAAGTCATTAATCATTATTGATGAATTTGGAAAAGGCACATCTAAAATGGACTCGATTGCATTATTATCTGCAATAATAATTGAATTTATAAATAAAGGTACTGAATGTCCTCACGTTTTAATAGTAACATATTTTTGTGAGATTTTCGAATGGATCCCTGAAAGCAATTTAGTTAAGTTCCAGGTATGTTTATATTTTAATATTAATTCTAATTAAAATAAATTAAGGTTTTTTGTATTTTCGCAGTGTTAAAGGTACAAAATGTGTTTTTAAAGTATGGATATTGTATATTGCAAATGTTTCAGTAATTTTATTATCAATAATATTACAAAGCTCCGTTTAATTTATGAATTTTACATTGTATTGTCATAATTTAGGAACTTGATAACTAATAACAAAAATATCTTTAAACTAATGTTTCTCTCTTTAAATTATTTATAAAAATGTATCAATGTAAAGATAAGCATAAAATCTATTTAGAGTTGTTATTTAAAAAATGAAATTATTACAATTATGATTGAAAATTATATTAACTGTTTAGAATTAGACTATGACCACCAGTTGCCTGTTGGAAGATAAGTGTGGGCAAGTGGAAAGGTTAGCGCTTGAATTCAGTATTTACAATGTTTGCTTTCCGTGCTTGGTGTTTCGTTTATTTACAACTACATTATAATGATTCTACTACAGCTAACAAAACTGCTGAGAAGATATTAAAGGCAAGTGCACCATAAGATAAGCGCTACTTATCATGAGCTAGTCGACTAAGCAGCCAGCCAGCCAAAAATCATTCAGCCAAACCGAGTCATAGAAGCAGTCGCAAGCCTTTCAAATATTATACAGCCGTTACAGAAAGCCCTTCTCATACTAGGTGCAGCCATTGCCCACACCCTCAACGCAGCCGCTATGTTAGCCTCTCCTCATCGTTTCGCACTACAAGACAACTTGGATGAGACCAGCAATCAAGTTACCACCACGTGGCATCACACGAAGAAGTGTCAAGAGACTCACGACCTCTCACTTTCAGTGTAATATTTCACCACCAAGCGTACTGCATCAAGAGGATCCGGAGACCTACAACCTTTTACCTCTACATGTAGTGCAAATTAACACCACGTGGAAACAACCAAGAAACGGTAAGATCACACCGATTCTCATCGTCAACGTAGAGTGATTATATTGTTATTGTAAAATAAATGAACGGAGAAAAAAAAATAAATAAAAAATAAAATAAAGCATGGAAAGGAGACGTTAAATACTGAATTCAAGCTCTAGCCCCTCCACTTGCCCACATTTTTCTACCACCAGGCAACTGGTGGCCCTAGTCTAATTCTAAACACATATGCTTTTAAAAATCAACGATAAAATAAATTATAAGTCTACAATGTCGAAAAAATGTGATAAGCAGATATTAAATATTATTTGATATATTAATAAAAAAGATAAATCACATGGTGATAGTATTAGCAAGTTATGTAAATATTGTTATGTAAATAAGGAAGTTCTTAAAAAAATTAACTTTAAAAAAATGTATATATTTTAAAGGTCATAATGGGAAATAAGAAAAATTGTGTTATATTTTAATTAAATCAAGTTTACTCATAACTCTCAACGATTAACTCCAAATAAACGCTAAATATGATATTTAGTCAAATGAAATGTAAATATTCTTGTAGAATGGCTTTTCTTTTTTATAAAAACTTTATGACTTTTATTTAATACATAATTTATTATGTTTCTATATATATATTTATTACATGCAGCATATAATATTCATTGTTTATCATTCTAGACGTTTGAGTTTCTAATGGACAAAAATAATGTATTATTTTTATATCGACTGATTAAAGGCCAAATGACTTGTAATTATTCATTTGTTGTTGCACAGATAACATACTTAAATAATTATATTTTTAATTTTGCTAAAGAGGTAATATATTCATAATATTACAAAATATTTATAGATAATGTTTAAAAATATTAACGTACAATTATAATACTTTTGTACTTTCAACTTATTATTACAGTTACTGATTTACTACTTACTCAATACATTAATTGTAATTATTTGCCGAATTTTATTTAAATTTAATACAATAAATTAAAAATTTTAGTTGCTAACATTGATATCATAAATATTATTACTAACATTATTCTTTAAATTTCATCGTATTGTGACGCCTGTTCAGATATGTGAAAGTATAAGTTAATTTATAATAAAAGAAACGTTTTTAATTCTAATATTTAGGAATCAAATATCTTGAAACACAATAATAATTTAAGGCTTTTATCATCTTTTCAACTAATAAAACATGTTCGCTATGATTGTGATACTTTATACATCGATAATCTTGATCTGAATAAGATAGAAAGTTATAGTTTGAAATAATTTTAATATTACTATCTAGTTAATTGTGAGATTAATAATGTTTTCAAATACAGTTTTTTAACAATTCATGAATATCTGTTATGGAGTCGAAAAAAATATTAATTATAAATAATTGATTTTCAAATTTTTATCATTAATATAAAGCACGTAATCTGAAAATAATTAAAATTTAGAATTTAAAAAATTATAATAATAGTTTATCTAGCCGTCTTTTTAAAGTAGAGTTTTTTTTAAAGTATGGCAGGGAAATGTTATTTAAATATATCGATGTTTATGAGTTTGTATATTGCAAACGAAGTTTTAGAGTCGTCTAATAGTAGTCTCTGTGTTATATAAAGTATAAGTAATTTCTTACATCTTTTTCTCTAATTTGATATTAATAAGTAACTACTCATTGGCTTAAAATGAGTAAAATGAGTATTATAATATGAATAAAGAGTTAATAGGTTCTTTATTTAAAGTTAAAATTATTGAAATCTTGATGTATTAATGTACACATTTATTCTCAATTCTTAAATGTAGGTTCATTCAAATTTAATATATACTTTGATATATTAGCGACAAATTAGAGATAAATTTATCTATCTCTTGTTAGTTTGATACAAGTATGTATCCATATATGTATGTCTTATACGTAATTAAAAGAAAATCGATCGGTTCACGATGAAAAAAATATAAATATATGAAAATAAGTATTCGATTTTAAATTTGAGCACTTGTCTCACTTTATTAGAACTTAATACAATATATAATATTGTCTAAACATATTTGTAATTAGTAATTATTCAGATTTGATATATATAAATTAACTTATATATTTCTCATTAAATCGCTATCATTCGTTGATTTGATATTAATCACAATTAATCACATGAATATTATTAATAAATATACATTCATGCATAATCGTGAATAGTATTGATTTCAGAGAGAATTTAATGTAATTTATAATTATTTCTTTATAATTTTTTTAATGACACTGCTTGAGATTACGAGAAACTTTTCTATGCCATAAAACATCTAAAAAAAACAACATCGTTACATTGTCGTTTAGACTTCTGAAAAGTCATGCCCATAAAACATCTGGCAGGAGTGTCATTAAACATCTGGCAAAACAAGTCGTAAGACTCGGGAAAATCCAAATCATTAGGTAGCTGCAAGGAATCGCTGTGCCCGAAAATCTAAAATCTAACGGTACGTACTGCCCCCCCCTTTGTCAACAAGTTGTCATGCGATTACCAGACGTGCCAAAGGCAACGAATTCATGAGCTCTTCTTGCTGTGAAGATCAAGAAACGACTAAGCTTCGTAATTGAAGACGAAGTCACAAGAGCTGCCTTGGCTCTGTAAATGGAAAGCTCTCTAATTGAACACAAAAAAAGGATCAAGCCTTCGGTTTTCGTGCGCGTATTCAAAAGGCTTATAAGCTCATTGCAATTCTTCCTCACGTTCACTTAACTGTTATTACCACTTAGTGTTTTAGTATATACTGTGACGACTACACATGGCCGCATGTTCGGCAACCAATCTAAAGATACACATACATTATTAAACAGAATCAGCAAGATCAGGTAGTGATTTTACAGTGAAGCCAATTTGGAATCGTAATAAAAAAGGGGTACACCCGCCACGCAGCAACTCAACATATCTTCTCGGTATTTTACAAGGTACATCTCTTTATATTATTTAAACAAGCAAGTCGCCCACGCGCAAATCAAGTTTCATATAACTTTTATTCAAAGAGTCGATATAGGTGATAGAGTACGCTCTCTCGAACTAACACTTCGAAGGCCGTGCAGTCCCTCAAACAGTCGACACAAATGACGCAATACGTCAATTACATTGTCAAATCCTGACAACAATTTATAGAATAATCGACAATAAATACATTTCATCAAGTCCTTCAGAGCTCGAAGGCTTGTCATTTATAACTCTTGTATGTGCTAGCTTTCAATTGCTCCCATTATATCTGAAGACATAATTGATCATTAGTAAAGATATAAGTATGATCATTTTTTCTACCAAGCATACTTGATTCTAATACCATCAACATTCAAGATCCATTGTACTCTCCATAGCCTGGACAACATCACCCTGAAGAAGCAACCTCACCACAGCAATAGACTATTTTCCCTTCTCTCACCAGAAGCAATCAAACTGCAATATTATAATAATTGACAACAAGAATAAACGATATCTTAACACAGTAATAATACACTATACTTAATTTCAGCCCTTTCACCTGTTATTTCCTTATTGTTCGAGAGTGAAAAGAAAATCTCTCGAATTAGATTTACTAGAGAACCTTCAACAGCTAATAAAATGGGAATTATCGAACGGATACGAAAAACTAAGAAAGTCTCGCCAAGGTTGCATGAGACTCGAAAAGGTTTGTACATCTGTGAACTCGTAAACAGCCATTTATTGCCTTTCATATTAAAGACGTAGTAATTGTTTTGAATGCAATGAAGACTCTTGCGACTTACCATCAAAACCCGACTAGCTTGTTTACAAGAGTATATTTTGAGGATTAAAATATTTCTAAACAGTTGAATGAAAACATTTCTTAAAATCCGTTGCAACCCGAAACTCGGCACGCGCGACTCTCGACATTTGCGTCGAACGTGTGCCTTCAATGCCACAAGGGCATACGCATGCATTGTTGTCAAGTACGACAACCGTTGCTGCTTGCATAGGCCAAGCGAAGACGCTTAACCAAAAATCACCCCCACCACGATGAGTCCCGGAGAGGGGCAAATTTTCCACTTCACGCATTGGTGCCAGAGATACTCCTTCGATATTCTCTTTGTCTAAGCCTAATTTCTTATGAAGTGGGAAAAGGGCGTGCACATTCATCATGTCGCCGAAAAGCGGCGCGCCCTGATTGGAAAACTAAGACCAGAAGCTCCTTGAGTGGGGACTCATGGCAAGAGGCCTTAAATATGGGAACAAGACAGCGAAAAAGGACTGTTCGCGGGGGACGCCAGGAACACGCTGTCCGCGTGAGCAGCCAAGTGCCTTTCTTCCGAAAAAGACAAATCACACAGAGTTAGAGTGAGCAATCTAGGGAAAGGTTAAGTAATAAAAATTAATTGTCCAAGGAAACCAAGCCTAAAAATTCACTCAACGCAGAAACAAGTGCTAGTAATTCAAAACCAGAATAGTGCATGCTGGCGAGTAAAGGAGTCACGCCGCACATGATTCGTGTCCCTCTCACCGCAAAGGCAGATCAAGAATAGTTCATGCTGGTGAGTAAAGGAGTCACGCCGCACATGATTCGTGTCCCTCTCACCGCTGAATAAAAGATTAAATTACGACATCGCTGTAAGTACGTTGATACATATTATATCTTCAATTATTGTTAGCCGACGGTAAAACCGGCATATGACTACCATCAAGATTATCTCACACTGTACAATCAAAAGTGTGCAGCAATTATTTACCTGTGTAATTTACATCAATTAAACGATTTCAAGGCATCTTGTGTAGTGACACCTCCTGTATAAGAAGCCGATCAAGAAATCATATCTTCATATAAGATACAATAAGATTCTACAACATACATATGTAAATAGTGTAATAAATTGTATAATAAATATAATTAACCAACTCTCACGACTCCTGTACAGCCCCTACATCTCACCCCTTCCCGAGCGTCTGCTACGGCGGGCGGCAAACTAAGCTATTGAAGCATTGGCAGTTCGAGCCAAGAATTACATCACTACAACTTTCGAACACTCATCAGTCATCATAACTAGAGACTAATCCACTGAACTATTGAATTGGCAGTTCGAGCCAAGAATTACATCACTACAACTTTCGAACACTCATCAGTCATCATAACTAGAGACTAATCCACTGAACTATTGAATTGGCAGTTCGAGCCATAAAACAACCCCTTAAAAATAGAACGGCGCCATTTGCGACCACTTTGCCGATCCTAATATCAACAAAGCACGTGCCCATATGCACGAAGCGTGTATCGACAAGCCAATCTTCGTGCCATTTAGCGCACATAGCAGAAACAACACGCGGCTCTACTCGAAGAAGTGGTAAGAATTTATAACTAATCACTTTCCAGGGAATTAGTGTACTACGCCAAGAGAAGCAAAATATTACATCCAGTTATTTATTTACCTCTGGTTAAAGAACTCTTGCTACAGGAAGGCATGATCTGCCTAACCTAGAGTTCAACAATTGATAACAGTAACAAGAATCATCCCTGTATCTGGAAATTAATGAAATAAACAGCATAACAAACAGATGTATTGATATTGAATTAATGACACCATCTCTTCCACTTGCCCCCATTGCTACCACATAACATTTCGTGGTCTCTGAGCTGTCGGCATTAACAATTTTGTATCCTTCGACCCGGTCTTGATAAACCGAGCTGGATAATCGGATACATTTTGTACAGACATATTTTCATAAGATATCGGTGTTCTTTTTCTTTCATTCATTTTTTGTCGCTAATGTTTTTTTTTTATGAAATTCGCTTGTAATGAAACATGCCCTATAGTTATCAAATATGTTTGAACCTTCTGTTAGACCTTCTATAAGATCATTATAGTTAATTACACAATTTAACTAGATATTGTAAAAATTCGTGCATAACTGTATACAGTTATTATATTATGAATTACAGAAATTTTCTATTTATTAATTGATAACTTGTGATTTTTTCTTTTCAAAAAATTTCCTATTAATGTTAAGTACAAATTTTCATACTTTTGGTATCCATTATAGGCTCTAGCAATAGTAACACTTTTTTGTTTATTTCATGCAAAGAACGAATTTTCTACATTTGAGACCAAGAAGTTATAAACATTGCATAAAAATCCGTATTTATATATATTATTATTAACTTATTATTAAATATAACTAAATTATTATTATAAATAAATATATATATATGTTCGATTTTAAAGGGTTAGTTTAGGCTCGAACTACCAAGTCAATAGTTCAGTGGAGTAGTCTCTCGGCAGGATAACTTCAAAGGAAAATAATAAGTGATAAGGCTTAAAAATATTATGCATTTAGTAAAACAATGTTTATTATTGTAAAAGATTATAATAATATTGCACTTTGATGTAGAGAGAAATAATTCTATTGAAGTAGTGAGGGTGTATTCTTGTATTCTTGAATTATTGTAAATTCTATGGATATTACTATCTTGAAGTTGAGGTAATACTGATGTTGTAAATATCAGCTGGTGTAGTCAATCAATCATGCTTGTGAGTTATCATGATTATATGATCAATTGTATCTTTATTATTTAAGGAGATCTGTAGAAGAGCTAGTCACACGTAAGAGTGATTAATGGTAAGATGTCTAACTCTTGAAGGATATAATAATCTGTATTTATAATCTATTAGTCGATCTGTTGTGTCCTTTGTGACAATGTGCTTTAAGGCATAGCGACTCTTGCATCAGCTGTTGATGGCCTGTACGGTTCCGAAGTGCTCTTCGGAAGAGCGTAAGTGTGCCCTGGTTCTGCTAGCGGGCCTGTACGATGTCGAGGGATCAGTTCGAGAGAGCGTAAGTGTGCCCGATCGACGTTCCATGGCGGTCCTGCTGAGGGCAGATCGAGACTCGTGTGCCATGGCTTCTACTGGTAGATGGTTAGATCGATTCACTATGGTCGGTGTCACTGCTGTCGGGTCACGGCAAGATGTTAGCCGCAAGCGTAGTTGAGCGAGCGTGGTTCGGCAAAAGATGATTTTCAGCGAGAGGGATTTTCAGCAAGAGAGCGAGGCACGCCGCGTGTGTCCCTTATATAACCACGCGGTGGCTCACTTAGCTGGCAACAAGGCATCGTCGTTGTTGAACTAATTCTTACACGAGGCGTCGAAGGAAAAATCTAGAACCTTCGAGAATGTTCAACGAGAGAAAAATAGGAGTAATACCCTTGGGTGATCTTATAGTATATTATATTTCGGATCGTAAACTTGCTCGGACGTGCCGAGTTTTGTTTGTAAACATTCGCTCGAGTGCGCGTCCCGGTCCGCACGTGCGTGCCAGTCAAGGTGCACATGCTGTACGCCGAACAGCGCATATGACCTTTCTTTTGTTTGAAATTCATGGGACTGCATCAATCCCGAACAATATATATTATTAACATTTGTATTTCTAGGTATACAACCAACAGTTCTAATTTGTATCGTTATTTTTATTGAGCTTTGGCTAATTTTTAAGATATTCCTTGTGTAATAGAATAAAATAATGTTTATCTTAGGAGTTTAATTTAATATCTGTTCTTTCTAATTTAATATTTGCCGTCACTTTATTAGAAGCATTTAAGGTGATTTAGATAGAGTTTCTTATTATTTAGTCAATTTCTGAACTTATCCTACTTCTATTTCTATAATGCCTATTAAATGTATGCACGTATGTTAACTGCTCTATTAATACAGCAAATTTTATGTTTTTCTTGTTTTTTATTTATTTTTGGAATTTAAGTATTTCTTATATTATGTATATAATTAAAATACAATAAATTAACATACGTTATTTATTAAAATAGTTAATAACGTAGTATCTCACTAATACAGTATTTCTTTAAATTTTGAAAATTGACATTTTATAAAATAATATCTAATCTACATTACTAGTATGAGTTTAAAATTACATATTGTGTCTGAGATCAGACTAAAAACGCTTCCCTGAGATGGTGAAGGGGGGCTTGCTGGCAAGTGGAATGGACAATGCAATAATTCTATACTGCCTTTATGTGAGTTGATTTTCCCTTTTATTGAATATAATAAATAATGAATAGCTAATAATCTATGAATATCGAATGAGTGTATGATACAATAAATAGGTAAGAGTTTCTTCAGGTAATATAAGTGATGATAATCTTATAAGTGTATTCTTGTGGTATTCTTGTGTGTGATTGCCGCTATCGATACGCTGGAGAGGCCTGGGTGGTGGCGTTGGTATGTAACGTCACTGTTGAGGAGAATTGATGTCGCCGTTACCGTTACCGATGAGTTGGAGAGGCTTGAGTAGGGCGCTGGTGTATGACGTCACTGATGAGGAGAATTGATATCGCCGTTGCCGCTACCGATGAGCTGAAGAGGCTTGAGTGGAGCGCTGGTGTATGACGTCACTGATGAATGGCAATGATCCCGTGGTTTTGGTATTACTGCTTACTTAGTTTACGGAGTCGTGTATTAGTGATTCGTAAGAACGTGTGTAATAGCGTAGCTTACGTGTGTGGAGTCGATTTCAGTTGTATTGATGGTACGTAAGGACGTGTGTAATAGCGTAGCTTACGTGTGTGGAGTCAATCTCAGTTATATTGTTGGTATGTAAGGACGTGTGTAATAGCGTAGCTTACGTGTGTGGAGATAGATCGTTGTGTATTGGATGTGACCTCTATATAAGTGGTATTTGACTTGTAAGAAAACGATTTGTGTGAATTTAAGGCGATCTCTGTGTAAATAGCGTTGACTTGCAGAACAATAATTTGATCTTGATGATTGCTTGATTGAACTAGTAAGAGGATGAGATCGTCATGTGCAGCTCCTTAAATATTCTCGTATAAACAAGCTGCGTTGAAATTGCATAGGTGATCGTTGCTATGCCGATATTTGTCGTGACATAAACAGGGCATAGCCTTGTAGAGTTCATTTGTTATTACTTTTGGAATTATAGTAGTATATTCGAGTTTTTCTGTTATAGCATTATTTGAATTCGTTAGTCAGTTTTTACAAAACAAATGCTCGCGCGCTCATACCTCTCCCACTTTTTATTTTGCTTAGAAACTACTGCAATCCGTAACATATTGCGTTATGTCTATATTTGAAATTTCAAAAGATCTTATTTTATTTAAATTTATTAAAATTATCAATTTTATTATTTGTATAGTTAATTGTGTAAGTAATGAATATTATGAAAACATAATGTATTTTTAGATACAGATGACATTACAGTTTGGAGAAGCACCACCACGCCCAAATGATTTTCGTAGAAAGGAATTGTAAGGAAAACTAATAATACATATATAATATAGAAATAAACATTTTATAAATTGAATTCAAATTTTAAAAAATTAATTGTATTATATAAATATAAAATTATATTATGTTTAAAAAAGTACATATTCCTCAAAAATACAATGAAGCTCGAAATCGTTCAGTTTTATAACGTTACGTAATGAGTTACGTAAATTTATGATCAAGTATCTCTTTCTTCGCTTAAGAGTTTAAATAGCATTATTTAAACAAGTAATTTAAATAAATAATATTCCTACATGTCTGACATTTTTCTTTTCTTATTTATTTATCTCAAAAATTCATAATTAGCATCTCATTTGCAAATATGGAGGTAAAACATTCTTTTTTTTTCTGTATTTCTTATTACATTATAGGTAAAATTATTCTGTTTTGTTTACAAAGCTAGAAAATATTTAAAAATCTTAATGTTTTACATAATTTTATGCTGTACAATAACATACGCAGTAATCATGCTTACAAGAATTTGTTTAAAGTAATGACATAATATAAATAATGATATTTTATTGTATAAGTTAATATAATATTAGTATACTGATCTATATTTCGTGAATTATTCGATGAAATAAAAATAATTAAATAATTGAAGATTCTATTAGAACTTTTTTTATATTAAATCTCTGAACTCTTTATGTATATATATTATATTATACATGATATAATAATAGAAATAACGATACAAAAATAAAAGGAGAACTGTATTATTAATAATGTACAAATAGATGAAGAAACAAATAAAGGAAAACAGGAAAAAAGTATCTTTCATTACCTAAAAAGTATTTTGTAATTTACATAAAAAAAATTAAAAATTGTATACTTGGTAGTTATAAATTATTTCATACCATTTAACATTTTTACTGTATATATCTGTTGTCCTGTTTTTACTAGTATTTTTCTATATATTATAGAAATATTCTTTCTAATCTAAATTTTTATCTTTCATGTCAATCATATAAATTGTTATATTTATCAAGTTTAGAGTGTAATTATATATATAAATTTGTTATATTTTATTGATAATAGATACGTATATGCATATTTACTATAGAATAATTTATTTTCAAGATTGTCTGATAATAGAAATTAAATTTTGCATAATAGCAGAATTATTATGTTCAAAAAAATGTGAAGGCAAGAACAAAAATAAGATTCCTATTGCATAAATTTATAATGAAATACATTATAAAAATGTATAAGAATATATATAAATTATATATTATTATATTTTGGACGATACCATTTGCATACATGTGAATCTTTATATAATCTATATCGTGATCTATTTATTAATAGATTGAACATATCGACAAAATATTCTTTTTCTATATTTCTTATTAATTTATATATTATATAACGAAATAAAAGCAAATATTTTATATTAGATTGATAATAAATTATTAAATTTAATTATTTTTCAGGTCACTAGCCAGTATTAATGCATTATTTTCATCTGAAACAGTAATTGTTTTGACTGATCTAAAAGGCTTAGTACTAGATCTAATGGGAGATCAAACTACTTAATTATATAAAAATTAATTTAAATAAAATATATATTATTTTTACATAGAAACTTTTCTTTAATTAAATAATTAATAAATATTTTTATTATAACATATTTTACATAAGTGACTATTATATTTCATTTTAATTTAAGAAATATACTTATAATTTTACTGTTAATATTTAGTAAAAAATGAAGTAATTTTATATAGGATATTATTATGCAGCAATTGAAATTAAATATTTTTAATCAATAAGCGAACTTACTAGTTTAGTTATGTTTTTATTAAAAAACAAATTCATGTACAGTACTAGTTAAAAAAAATAAAGACAATAAATATTAAAACCATTAAAATACTTTAGAAAATTATGATTTTTTAAAAGTATACTTATATATAAATTCTCTGGTATTAAATTTTTTATTTGTCAATAATCACATGTTCATATAAGAATCAATCATAAAATTTAATTCTAATACAAGATTACTTGTAATATAGATTTCAAACTATATAAGTGAGAATATCTAAACCAACACAAAATGTTTCTTGAACAGATCTTCTTCATTAATAACAGATAATATTAATAAAAAGTATAAATAGTAAAAACCTTGCAGAAAATTTTTTATTTATAAGTTTTACCAAGATAATTTGCTAAAAAAATACACATAATATTCATAATTAAATTTTTTCTTTTCCAATTAAATTTGTATAACCATAAAATAATATAGAGAAATGTATCAATGAATGTTTTGAAAATTAAAATTGGATTTAGTAATTGTTGTGCCTTAACTTGTGTTGATATTTATATATAATTTACATTAATAAGTAAATTTTATAAATAACCAATAAAAGCCTAAGTTGCTTTTAGATGTAATCTCATAATATATAAACTACATAGGTCAAATTAAAAAATTTTTATACACAAGTATGATTTGAACTCATATTTTAATAGTCGAATTATTTACGATTCTCAAATGTATCTTGTTTTCAAATATTTATTCTGTAATGGTATTCAATATGAGACCATTAAAGGTTACTTATTGAGTGTTAATATCTTTTATGTTCATTATTTTTTTAAGTGTACCATAATCTAATTTACTAATTTTTTAACAAAGCATTAAATAAGACACCTAATCATCACTTAATTTATTGACAATATAAATAATCATAATAAAAGGATAAGTGAACTAAGATTTAAACAATAAAATTATTTAATTTTAAATTATGATCTGACCTTAACTAGTTTAACGGATATTTCAGTTTCTCATAGCGAAACATAGAACACTGTTAAAGCATGAATTATTTTTATTTCCTTAAGCAGATTTTTATATATCGATGTTTTTAGGGTCATTACCAAATCTCTATTTTTAAAATATAAATAATCCTGAAAATAGCCGATTTTCACGTTTTGTTTATAAAAATTGCATTAATATTAGAAAATATTACTTAAAATAGAGGAATGAAATTGATATGTTAATTTTTATTTAAAATGGATATAAAATAATTGAATACTTATATATATAAGAATAATGTGCTTAATTGAATTTTTTTAAACTAAATCTTGATATTTAATTATAATAGAATAGATAAATATATTCAATAATTTTCATGGCAAGTCATCAACTAAAAACTTATACAAATAAACAAATTATTAATTTCACATAAAAATTAAATTTAACAAACAAATGAATGAAAAAATTTCAGTAATAAATTAAATATGCGAAATTTTTCTTAGTCGACCAAAAGTTCAATTTTAAAAAAATACTTTTGTTACTATTTATTTAATCATTTTTAATTTTACTATTTTTCTTTTACAAAATTTTAATAATTCATAAATTAATTGTTCGCAATATGATTTCGGAACAACGTCGATACAATCTTGACTTTCTTCATCTCAAAATCAATAATAAACTTCGTCGAGATGTAATAAGTAAATAGGTTTTACTTATAATTATGTCACATATGTTTACAGGTATAAATAGTTGAAATCAGTTTTAAAAATCTGCAAATTATTGAAACTTTTGACAGCTTTTGGACTTTTGAAACTTAAAATTAAAGAAACTGAGAGCATATTTAAGTAAATTCGGTAATTCAATTAACTTTTTTGTAAATTACGATTGTCTTACAATATACTGATTTCATAAAGGTAAATTAAAAATAAATGCATATGTATCAGAATATATTGCCGGTGATTTTTTGTAATGGAACAAGTTCTTAGTTGCAATTACCTTTTCATCACTAAAATAACATTAGATAATATATGCAATGTAGTTTAATTATTAGAAACAAAAATGGTAGCGATAATATTTTTAAATAAAGAATATACATATCTAATTCTTTTTAATTGTATTATTATAAGTTAGAAATTATCTATCTTTTGAATAGAATTCCAAGTACTATAGCGTCGACTCTCAGATTCTTTATTTCGCTTGTTGCATTTCTGTATAAAAATTGCAACTATCATGTGATGATGACAATAACGATGACGACGACGATGACGATGATAATGATGATGACGATGACAACAATAATAGTGATAATAAAAATAACAGCAACAAGACACTAAAATATTAACAGAAGTAGAAGCAGCGGTGATTTTAATAAAGATAAAAATAGTAATAGTGGTAATGTTATCAGTAGCAATGACAGTGACTTATATTATTGTTGCTGTTGCTCTTATTTTATGTGTAAGATTTTTAGAACCATTATTATTATCATTTGAACAAAGCAATTGTCCAATACGACTGGTGATCGCTATTCAAACGGTCACAATTTCTTCACCCTATTTCCCTTATAAAACTTGCACAAAATTTAAATTTATCTTTGACCTTTATTAACCATTCCTTTCATATTAAAATATTGCAACAATTTGCATGTGAGCTTGTTCTTGAATATCAAAATTTTTTCATAAGGGATGTCAGAGTGCTTTTTTTCAAATCTTGTACACTGTTAATATATCAACTGATTAGTATCAGATTGATGTTCTAATTAGCGGTTTGCATTTTTCAACTGATTAGAAAGCCAATCAAGACCTTCATAGAGTCCATCACCACTAGTTGCACAAGTTGCTTGAATATACCAATTGCGGTTACGCAACGAGTGCAGGCCTAGTTTATCAGTAATTTCTGCAGCATTCATTGCATTTGGTAAATCCTATAACAAATGTTTAAATAAAGATAAGCATATATCTGAAACGAACAAAATTTAGATAATAGTTTAATGAAAAATAATTGTGTTAAAAAATTAATTTAAATTTATAAAGTTTTATATCAAGATTTGTATGCATTTATAATATAATGTGAACCTGCTTATGTATTATAATATATTTGAACCTAACTATAATTGGGATACTTCAATATAAAATTTAATGAATTAATTTAAAGCTATTGTTTATTTAAGTTATTATTATGTGTAATGGTAAAAAAAATAACAAAGGAAAAAATTAGTTCAACAGCTTATCTTCTTAAAATATTTTGTTCCTTTTATTTATTTTTTCAAAATTATATAAAAATACTAAACTTTTTTCAACTTCCAAATATCTTATTTACATATATTATCTCTCAATTGAAAATTACGTATTAGAAATAAAAATTAATGTAAATTTTGTAATTATGATTTAACAAAATTGTTACTTAAGGATAATAGGATTTTTTTAAAATGTGTAATATGTATATATATATATAAACAAATTTCGACATTCTCATGCTAAAAATACATTAGAATGTCAAACAATATCGCCATTTTCCTTGAATTAAATACAAAATTGATCTATTATATAAAACATTTCTTACACATCAAAACATATAATTTCAGAACAGTAAAACTCATTAAATAAAAAAAAAATTAGCACAATAAAAGGAAAAATATCTAACAGCTACAAATTATTGATTAATTATAAAGAAAAAATATAAGTTTTATAAAAAAATGTGTTCCGAATCAATTTAAGAAATAAAATACAAAAATGAAAAGTTAATAATAAAACGAGTGTGTTCGAAACTTTTTGATTTCCTGGCTCGAACCGCTAATGTTTCGATAGCTTTATAATAATTGCCGCTCACCCTAGCAAATGCTTGGTAAAGAGTCAAGTGGATGGCCTATAAAAATACAGTGTGTGCTTGTTCGATAAGTATGGTTTATTTACAATTACATTATTGATATTTTGGATTTATTAGATGGCAAGGTGTATCCTATGTTCGATCACGAAGATGCAGTTCCTGTGGTGGATGGTTTATCTACACGAGATGCTCCTTATTATGATAATTTGTTGTTGATTTTGCATGGATCAATAATTGAGTGACCACATTCTTTTTTAGTGAGTGTTTTGTGCTATGTAATAATAGCGTCATGACAATCTCGTAAGGATTAGCAATGATTTATTCCTTAGACTTGGTTTATTCACACAGACACATTGGTCTTGACCTGTTCTGTGTTGAATGGTTCTCTATGCCGAATGCTCCATGTGGATGTTGAAGTATTTCACCACCCTGGATGCTCCTTGTGGATGATTTGTTTCGTAAGAAGGAGATAGTTTCAAACCCCATTATTGCAGCACAGGTGAATGACGCGTCTTTTTCTATTTTGGTCTTAGTATGGTTTTGGCCACTATTGATTCACCAGTAAGTAAGAGCCTCTTTGTCCTTGGAATCTCCACATCGCTTGTATCTGTGTCGTCCCTATTAATAAAGCCCTGATTTTGGCCTCTCTACTTACAGTGCCTCTATTTTCGGCTTCTTCAATTACAGAGTGCTTCTCCGTGATAAAGTGCACTTTAGATTTTTACAGAGGTCCGACAACCATTGGACCTTTCCACCAGATGTCTAAAGACTTGGGTTTTCCACCAGATGTTTGACACTATTTACTTTAAACATTAAATATTCAGGAAGTGTATTTGTTTACAATCATTCTAAATATGTGACAAAAAAGGATTGTATATTTAAAAAATTTTGAATTATATGATTAACATTTGTAATAACAAAGTATACATTTAACTCACAATAAATTGGTTCATCTGTGATTCATATTTTTTGTTTTTAAGTTACTGATAGATTGATCAAATAGTTTGTTAACTTGAATATGAGGTGACAAATATTAATAAATAAAAAATGTTAACAATATTGTTTTATAACAATAATTTAGAATTCAATAATTATAAATTTTATATTTATATTATTTATTTTAATTAATTATTTAAGTTTATATTCTTGGTAGTATTTGAATATATTAATAACAACATTTTATAGCATGTCTTACTTCCGTAATTGAATTATAACTCTTTTTGTAAACATGTGTAGTTTCTATTCAAAACAAGTATGATTACCTTATTATACAATGTATTTTTTTAGCAACGTTAAACTAAAGAATTTAATATACATATAAATAATATTTGAATGAAATAGTATTGGTGTAGGACAAAGACATTTGGGAGGAACATATAATCGCGAAGAATAAGAAAATAATTAAATTTTATTAATTAAATATTCCAAAATATATCAGAATGAAATATAGGAATGCACAAATAAATAGATAGAAAACACGATAATATATAATTTAATTTGAATATTTAATCGTTAATTGGCTATCAAGAAAAAAATAGTATACCATTTTATTTAAACCAAAAATTAGTTTGTGAATCAGTTATTTGAATTTGATTAAAATTATTGTTTAAATACGTATATGATATATATCATTCTTTTTAAAATACAAATCAGTTTTGTTAATATTTATTTTTTAAAAGTATCACTTTTACGAAATCGATCATTTCTAACCTTTTTGAAAAACAATCTTTTGAGTGTCAAAGATTAATTATTGAAATTTAATTAACCACTCAGCGGAAAACTAAATAATCCATTATATAATATCATGTATGTCTAAATATTTTCAAAATATACCACTTGATAAGTTTAATTTTAATAATACCTGCATGATTATCATCTATACTCAAAATAAATTATAGTTATTGTTTTGCTCGAATAATCGATAAATATCGACAAAAGCTGACAGCTTCGGAATGGAGTTTTTACTTATCAGACAAAAGATTCTAATCAAATTTCTTCTGTTAAATGTATGTTAAGTATACACATGTTATTACTATTTTACTATGAAAGTACTTTTTATTTGTATTTTGTTTTTTCATGAAATTCTTTCTATGTGAAAGATATGATACTAATAATAATGGACATATATTGGATGAAAATTTATAGAATTCTTTATTTCTTAACATTTATATAATCTGAATCACATCAACGGATATCATTTGACCGAATATGGAACGAATAAATTGCTCATAAGCGAAGCTTTTTCATAGTCGTTCATTTGTATTAATTAATCACAATATTCAAATTATTAAAGTTCGGAATCATGCAGTTAGAATGGAAAACAGCCGTTACGAGTCTGTGAGATTTCTATTGAAATTATACATTTTAATTTAGCAACTGATAAAATTATTTAATTTTTTGGTGATAAAATGACCTTTTTAGTTTATCCTTTTATCAAGAAAGTAGCATTTCACAATTTAACCAATTGATTGTAATCATAGAGGCTTATGTTAGGGTGGATACTAATCTAGGAAATAATTTATTCATCTGCGAGGCTGCACAGAGATCCACAAAAAAAATGGCAATCTTGATGAAAACTGTTAGATTTAGAGATTTTGTTAAGCATTTACTCTTTTATTCTTCGATAAAGCATAAATTAAAGCTGTTCATTGCCTTCTATGGAGTTTGAAATCAATTGTAATTATATAAATCATTGAACAGAACAAATAAGTAATTGAAATAATTGATACTACTTGTGTTACAAGAGTAAATGAGGTAGAAATCATGTCTGATATAATTATAAAATCATATGGATAAGTTAGCATCGTTTTAAAAAAAATTGCTTGACACATATATACAATTTTTATGACTCCTGTTCTAGATATATTATTAAGCACAATAAAAAAATATGAAGAGAAATTGATAATAGTTATAAAGCTTATTTGAGTTTTTAAAAATATTTTATTAATCGTCTGCTTATTTTGACAATAGTTTGTAGTTATTCTGTTTGACTTGTATTCCTACAAAATTTAACAGCAAAAAGAGTATAGACAATGCACTGAGATATTCATTTAACAATTAATATATTATAGTAACAATTACTATATTTATATATAAAGCTGTATAAAATTCATATGCTAAAACCAATATCTTAACCACATCTCGCTTATAACCTCTTTTCACACTTATTACTCTCTTCTACAATCGATCTCTTACTTTTTAATCAAATCACGCGATTGTTATCAATGATAATTAGCTAGTCATAATTCGCTCATACACGAAGAAACATGTTTGATAACATAACAATAGTTATTGAAAATATAAACTTATATTTTTAATATTTTTTTAATGGATTTATTTTCGGTATTATTTATTGTACTTCATAAACATAATTTATTAAAATTATTATTAATACTTATGTTTATTAGTGATATCGTATGATATAAAAATTGAAGGCTAATATATTTGATATATTGTGAAAAATTTAAAAAATGTTTATTTGCTACAAATCTCATTTATATTTAAAAATTACCTGTTTGTTAGCAAAAATAAGCAATACTGCATCTCTAAGTTCATCCTCAGCTAGCATTCTCATGAGTTCTTCTCGTGCTTCTCCAATACGTTCTCTATCATTGCTATCCACAACAAATATCAAACCCTGTAATTATTAATAAAGATATTAAATGTATTCAAATAAAAATTAAATTAAAAATATTGAAATTAGAACAATCAATAAATATAAACTTCATTTGTTGAACATTTATTAAAAATCAAGTGACTAATAATAATGAATTATTACAATTTTAATACAATACGATTTTGTATAAACTGATATTTATTTTCATCTTCTACTAAAAAGATATTCCATTACAATCAATTAATTATAAATGATGGAGATAATTATTTAGAATTATCAGATGTTTTTATTTAATCTATTCTAGTTTTTGGATGCAATTTTTTCTAAAACTTTAAGTTTATTTCATCTTATGAGGAAAAAAAAAATGAAATCGTTACAAATATTTGCCTTGTAAAATTAAGGTGAAATTAAAATAATTTATTTGATGCATTTTGTAAATTTTTTAGTGTAAATAACATACGAATAAAAATAACGAGATTAAACAACATGACGATGAAAATTCTTTATAGAAACAAAATTTTAAATAAATTTATATTAATTAACAAATAAGTTTAAATACGATCTATCATTATATTTATATTATACTCATTTATTTACTGGATTCTATTGTTAATTATGGTAACATGGTTATGATTTAATTATTGTAATTAATTTATATGAAATTAACAATAATACATAAAACTACTTGAATAGCAAAATAATAATGTTTACATTGGTTAAGATACAATTTATAACAAAATATCTTTAGAATCATATTTTGTTGTTTTTGACTTTAACAACAGTTTACATTTAAGAAATAATAAAGAATGTATCAGTACATTGAGCAATTTAAAAATCTATAACATTTCAAAGTAATTACGCATATATTTTAAAAATTAATGTACCTTTCTAAAATATTAATATTCAAAAGTTTTTATTCTTGGTGTAATTGGGGTAGAGTTATAATTTCGATTAAAGGACTACATATCAAAAAACTTATAATTTCTATAATATAAAATTTAAATTATAAGAAATATTTTTTATTAAAAAAAAATTACGTTAAATATTCGAAATTTTAAAATTTGTATTCTGCTTGTTTATTCTTTATTCATAGCAAGTTTTAAAATTTTGATATGAATTATTAGATGTTTAACAACAATGTCACATACTTCATTCTTAGTATATCTCTGATATTTTCTATGTTTTTATTTCAGTGCTGAATTCCTAATTGTTTTGTTATTATTAAGTAAAGAATGGACTACTTAAACTAGGTTTTATTTAACATGTTATGATTATGCATATGTAAATATAGTTGATTCTTTTGAGTTTGTAAAAACGTGGCTCAAAGAATGGTAAATATAAACAGGATATATTAACTATCATTTTTTTAAATCAAATAATAAATGATTAGATAACTAACTATACTTTAAAATTAATAGTTGTTTAAGAATATGTTTAAACTATTTTCATTCAATTTTAGCTCTCATCAAATTTTCAACTATTAAAATTGCTCCATTAAATGGTTGCTTTATTAACTTTATAATTTGATATAATCTTTCAAAAGTAACAGAATTTTAAGCTTAAGGTAACTCTTTACAAATACTTATCACTATAATATATTATGTAATATAATACAAAGTAAGTAGTTTAAAAAGTAATTAATGACACATTATATTTCACATTCAGCTAGTTGGATATAGCTTGAGATGTATTTATTGGTGGCAAATAATTAATGGATTCACATAGTATATTAATTATTATATATAGAAGATAAAACTAATAAATATTAATAATTGTTAACAAATTAATAAATGTACAACTTAACTGATTTTTTTGTAATTAAACTAGTACAGAGTTAATATTAAAAAAAGATGAGATAAAATTTTCTTTTAATACATATTAGAAAAATTAAGACTTTGAATATTTTGTATTTCTTTTTATTTAATATTTTTATATAATCATAACAAATATTACGCACTTGTGTATTTTGAAAGTAATGCCGCCACAAAGGTCTGATTTTGTCTTGGCCACCAACATCCCAAACAGTAAAACTTATATTTTTATACTCTACTGTCTCTACATTGAAACCTGTAAAAATTTAAAAAAATTACAGAATTAATAGTGTAGCAATTCAATATTAGAAAAATTATACAATATAAATGTATTTCGTTATGAATATATATATCAATTTAACAAATTAATAAATGACATGTTATTTTATATTAAATTATCTACAAACTTGGACAAATTATAGTGGTTACTATAACAGTGTTTTGTAATTGTACAAGAGGAAGATGTTTGATATTGACAAATTACATTTACATTATATTTATAGTGTAATTCATCCTAAAATAAAATAAATAAATTAGTGTTTTAGTAACTCAAAGGGTCAACGATTGTCAAGATTTTATAACTTAGCAATAAAATAGCAATTTCTATTATTGAATGTCATATTCATATGCTCCATAATAGACTGATGATAGAGTCATCAGTAGAGTTTACAGATGGATTGATTACCAGTCAATGCTTTTTTATGTACAAAATTAATTTTGAAATATAAATAAGTAATTTTTTATAATAAATGTTGAAATATTGAAAATAATTATAAATTTTAAACATTATTTTAGAACTATATATAATTAAATATCTTTGTTTTACACTGCTTCCTGGATCGATAAAGTTTACTTACAAAAAATTGAATAAACTTAAAAAGTTGAATAGAAAATTTTTAATTGGAAAACTTTTTAAATATATTTTCCAAGCCATTGAATTTACAAAGTTCTATAAAAATATTTAAATATATATTTTTTTCTTCATATTTTCTATATATATACATTACTTTATATTTAATAAAATTTAATTTTAATAATAAACACAATTTTTATAACTTGAAAGAAGTAGATGATTACGCAAGATGTACTTTCCAATAATATCTAGAAAAATTCTATATTTATAAAGTTTTATATTTCTTTAGCAAAGGTGTAGATAACTTTAAAATATACATAATGAGAATGTAATTTATATCTCAACATGGTATCTAAAGTAAAAAGTAATGGATTCAATATTACTAAATAGAATTTAAGAAATTATAGCCATTCAATTTTCAAAATTCAGTTTTGTAAGGAATACATTTAAATTTATAAGTATCGTATTCTATAAGTTATGATTAGTTTTCCTCCTATATTAATCATATACAATATAAAAAGAATAGAATTATTTTTGTAACGATTGAACCACTAAAAACTATTCAAATATAAGATTGAGTTAAATGTAATTATTATTTGTTATTGTTTGAATTAATACAATTGATGCATGTATATCATTAAGTTTCACTCATTATATCTACACAGGAGAATGTAGAGATGTTAAAGCATACACAAAGCCATCTAATAATTAGGTTTATTTGGCATTAAATATTATGTATTAGCATATTATTTTTTCAGAACAGTAATCGATATACAAAGGAACTTAAAAGAATTTTATATATTTTCCTAGTATTTTGTAGAAATTTTGATATTCGCAAATTATTATTTAATTTTTAATTGATATATTTGGTAATAGTTATGAAAAATTAACTTTCATTTAACATTCATAGCATATATATGGATTTGATCAAAGCTGGCAGTGAATAATTTGTATTAAATTTTTATCTTTGTATAATTTTAACTCTGAATCAAGTTTGTCATGGGAAATGGATTAGATAAATAAAATAGATGTGAAATAATAATGAACTTATATAATAACATAGAATAATAATGAATTTATCATTTACATAGTTCAATTTTTCCTTTATGAAACTCAATAAATTTCATATAATTATGTAAAAAAAATGGCTATATCAAAATTAAAATAATTTCAATTATATGATATATCTATAATTATTAGATATATTTTGATATGATTTATATAATTATTATTTTAATTTAGGAAAACTTAAAAAAACTTTATGGAATTATTGAATTTGTATAATTGTCTAAATTTTTATTTACCTATTTATAATATATATAGTATATATATATAAATAAATTAAAATATCTCCTTTAAAATTTTAATGACATTGATTTAAACCATAAATTATTAACAAAACAAAATATTTTTAATGATTGTCAAATATAAAAGCTATATAATTTTATTTTTTCATTAATATTATAAAAAATGTAAACATTTTATAATTTCTCTTATATTATTGATTTTTTAATATTAATTTATTACATTTAAGTTCAAATTAATATTTTATTATAAATTTTCTTCAGTTTTACTATCCTGAAATCATAGGTATTAAATTCTTTACTTACGAATTGTTATAATAATTCACTAATCCAGGTCTGGTTTAAGTATATTACACATTTTAAATTTGTTTAATTTTAAACTAATTTATCTATTAACATTAAAAATATAAAGTATAGTTCTAGTTCTTATTCTTTTTCTATAGAAACTGTGTTTTAATAAGTGTTATCAACTAATAATTATTATTTATCAACTATATGTAATATAACTTTTTTAATATAAATTAAATATATATTTTTTCTATTCCCTATTTCATATACAACTTATTACACAATTAAATAATACATTATAAATACAAACTGAATATTATAAATATAGTGCACCATAAATACAAAAATTAAAGCATTAAGTCTAATTTTTTTATTAATTTATCTGATATAATAAAATTTAGTTTTTCTTTTATATTAATAAATTCTAATATATAATTATTAATATATATAATATTTAATATTTAAAGTAAATTAATAATCTAATTAAAATGCTACTTTAATTTAAAAAATTTTTTTAAATATAAAATAATCAATTACGTTTGTTTTGTAAAGTTTATTAATATATATCAACATATAAACAATAATCATAATCTTACCTATTGTAGGAATTGTTGTAACTATTTCACCTAATTTTAATTTGTACAAAATTGTAGTTTTACCAGCTGCATCCAGTCCTACCATTAAAATTCTCATCTCCTTCTTACCAAACAGTCCTTTGAATAATGTAGCAAATATATTTCCCATAATAGTATTTTACTATGTAATGACCTACAAAAAAATTTGATTAATTTTATAAAGAAATCTATTTTGTTTTTAAACAATTTAATTAAATTATAATTATAATCAAATTTAATTACATTATAATTTTGCAAATTTTGTTTCACTTATTAAGAGTTTCCAACTGTATAAAAATTAATAATTTTAAAATATTTTCCTAAATTCAATAGATTCCTATAAATAATATGTAAATAGATTAATCGTACAGTGGATATTTTTCTTTAAAAACTAGAACTTTTTCAATGTAAATAAACTTGGTAAAATTAAAATGCTATCTATATTTATACAGTAAAACAAAGATTAAAATTAATTCAATTTTATATATTATATATATATATATATATATATTTATTTATTTATTTATTAAAACAATATACCATATTTAATTTATATACTGGTACTAATTAACTCTTCAAATAAATAATTATTATGGAATGAACCGTACATGCGACTACTGTCATTGTAGAAATCATCGAAAAGTATTTATTAAATGTAACAAAAATATTAATGAAAATGCATCGAAATTTACAAGCCATTACATACCTTGCTAAATATCCACAAATTTTCTTCTAAAACACAAGATTAACGATTTTCACTCTACTTACACTTTAATAATAGATTAAATTGACGAAAATTCAGAAAATATAAAGCTACCACTTCTCTAAAAGTATTGTCTGTCAAAATGGCGGCGTCGGAAGGGAATCATACTTCATGCCACGTATAGAAGCCACGTTAGGGGCTTTATTATCCAGGGTATATTTGAAATAGGGTTATAGTTGTATATATTCTAGTTGTTGTTACTTATTACAACATCAAAAAACACTATAATATTTAATGTAATTATGATATATAACAGTAACTTTTATTTTATTCAGTTTTAGTAACTAGGAACAATTGCCATAACATATTATTCTGGATATAGCCTTATGAATTCATCCATAACAACTAATGCATATAAATAGGTATGAAAAAGGATTATGAACAGATATATAGAAAAATCAAATGCTATTTAGTTTCAAAATTTTTATTTTTTATTGTTTTTAACATATATTAAATGAATTTGAATAAAGATTTATTTTATTTTTAATTTAAAGAAAAAATTATAAATATTAATTCTTGACATTACATACTATAAAGAAAAAATTCTTGAATGAAGTAATTGAAAATTAATATAATTTTTCATAAATGTAAGTTAATTTTGTTTTTAATATATATTTAGAAATATATAGATTTTTCTATTGTTAAAAACATAAGTATAAAAAAATTAAAGTATGATATAAAAACAACGTAATTTGTTATTTACAAATGCTACTTTTTTAATGAAAACTGAATAAATATTTATATAAAATTACGAAAAACAATTATGAAAATAAGTAACTTCATTATAGTAATATCAAAATATACGAAAAGGTAAAAACTTTAATTAATTTAATTAGATGGAAAATATAATTTATAGTACTATAAATTAGTTCATTTATAGCTCGTTTATCTATATTCTCAAAATTATATATAAAAGCCGATTCAATTTTAGTTTTTATTGCATATTTGTAATTTTAGTATCTCTAAATTTTTAGTTTAGTACTTATTTAGCACTTTTTAATTGGACACTTACTAGGATGCCTAATCACCGTTATATTTTACGCAGCTATCTTAAAGCGCTAAAATTTAAAATAATGTTTTCAAATTTTTTCGAAGAAAATTTACTTTTTATTTGTAAAAAATACTCAATTAAGTTTTATTGTCATAATAATATTGGTTTTATCAAGAACTTCACTCATTATAAATGAAGTTATCTTATTAAAAACACATTTGTTAGTGTTCTATTGCTACTTATATTTTTGCCTCCTTTAATGAGTAAAATATTGAATGATTCAAAGATGATTTGTATCTGCCGTTGGCATTAATTTATTTTGTATATAATGTAATTCTTTACATAGTAATTATAATAATACATTCCCATTAAAACATTTCATAATAAAATAAATACGCAGATTTGAATATTTTGTTTTTATTTTATTAAGTATTTATTAAGAAAATAAATTAAAAAAAAAAATATACGGAAAGCATAGTAATTTAAAGAAGTTCGATAGTTCTTTAAAATTTACTAATTTATTAATTAATTTAATTATTAACTGTAATTACTAATTTGTTTAAGCTTCATTTTTTTCGCTAAAAACAACTAATATTAATTAAAATATATTGTATTTACACATTGAATTTATTATGTATTTTATTGCAAGAGTAATTTTTTTTCAAAACTCGTCTAATCTTGCATTATGTGTATACTTTGTTAGTCAAATATATGTTACTTCGAAGTAGTTTAAAAAGTATAAGCATTCCGTCTTTTGATCGATTAAATATTATTTGTTATTGTTATGTGTTAGTTTTTTTATTTTTTATTATTATCTTCAAATACCGTAAAAATCCTCTAATTTAATTACAAATAATAGAAGTTATATTTTTTAGATAGAAATTAATAGCATTCTACTAATGTAAGTTATATATAAATCAATTCTATTATAGTCCTCCTTTGTTGATTAAAATTAATATTTACTTTTTCAAACGGATTATAATTAATAGAGAAAAATATTATGTATTATGTATAATTAGTAAAAACAATGTTTATTATTATTAAATATTATAATAATATTGCACTGTTGTTGACAGAGAAATTTATTATATTGTAGTAGTGAGGGTGTTTCCTCGTGTTCTTAATTGTTGTAGATATTATTGAAATTATTGTGTATCTTCAGAATTGAGGTTATGCTGATGTTGAAAATATCAGCCTGTGTTGTCGATCACGCTCATGAAAGAGCATGAGAAGATGGTGTTTGAAATCAAGTATGCTTGGTAGAAAGAATGATCATAGTTATATCTTTACTAATGATCAATTATGTCTTTAGTTATAATCAGAGCAGTAGAAAGGACTAGTCACACGCAAGTCTCATAAATGACAAGCCTTCGAGCTCTGAAGGACTTGATGAACAAGTATTTTGTTGTCGATTATTCTGTAAATTGTTGTCTGGATTTGACAATGTAATTGACGTGTTGCGTCAAGTGTATCGACTCTTTGAGGGCCTGTACGGTGTCGAAGTGTTAGTTCGATAGAGCGTACTATTTACCAGTCGATTGTGTAAAGGCAGTTTTCTGGAGCGTGATTTTGCGCGTGTGTGACTAGTTTATTTAATGATATAAGGAGATGTGCCTTATCTACCGGCAAGGTATGTGGATTTACTTCGCAGCTGGTGTGCACCTTTTGATTACGATTCCAATTGGCTTCAATATTAAATCACTACCTGATTTTGTTGATTCTTTTTAATAATGCACGTGTATCTTTAAGTTTGTTGCCGAATATACGGCCACGTGTCGTCGTCATAGTATATACTAAAACACTGAGTGGTAATAACAGTTGAGTGAACGCGAGGTTGAATTACAATGAGCTTATAAGCCTTTTGAATACGCGCACGAACCGAAGGCTTCAACGTACCGTGGCAGCTTTGCTGAAAATATCGACCATTCCATGGCGGTCCTGCCGAAGGCAGACCGAGACCCGTTCTACTGGTAGATGGTTAGATCGGTCCACTGTGGTCAGCAAGCGCAGCTCAGTAAGAGGTAGCTTCAGCAAGGTTGGTTCAGCAAGAGAGCGAGGCACGTCGCCTGTTTGCCTTATATATCCACGCGGCGGCTCACTTAGCTGACAACAAAGCATCGTCGTTGCTGCATTGGAATATTGCAAGAGGCGCAGAAAGAAAAATCTAGATGTTTTGAGAATTTGACGAAAGAAAAAATAAGTCGTAATAATGATAGAGACTTCCGGGCGATATTATTACCCGAAGACCATGAAAACATTACGGGCCATTTGAAACTAAAACATAACAAGTACACGAAAGTCCAATGAGCCTACAAGCCTGTTGAATACGCACGCGAAACTGGAGGCTTGATCGTTCCGTGGCGGCTCTGCTGTGAGATACCGACCGTTCCATGGCGGTCCTGCTGAGGCAGACCATGACCAGTGCCATGGTGTCTTCACTAAGAGAGGTACACTGTGCTCGGTTCACTGCAAGAGAGGGAGACTCGCCGTGTGCTTGCCTTATATATCCATGTGGCAGTTTACTTAACTGGAAACAAAGCATCTTTGTTGCTACAATGGACTCTTACATGAGACGCAGAAATAAAACTCTAGTAGTTTCGAGAATTCTATGAAAAAACAAGGCGTAAGTAATTTGAAGAATTTCAAGCGATGTTACTTCTCGAAGACCATTTGAATATTGTGGACCCTTTGAAACCACATCATAACAAGTACACGAAAATTCTCGTCCAAGTGTTTACAGAAACTTGAGAGCTAGAGAGACTAGCGATGCCGATATACAACGGTCTCGAAATTTGGTTCAATCCCGAAGATATTTTACATTTTTATATGGAAATTATTTATATATATATATAATTATTAAAGTTATATAATTAAGGAATATATAGAGTAATATTTTTTATAAATTTAATTAATTAATTTGATTACACATTTTATTAGTATTATTAGTCATTATTTATAGCTTTTTATAAAATTTCAATATTTAATCTAATTTCCGAACATTCAAATGCGATATTTAACCATTAACAAAACTTGTATTAACAAAAAGTTAATTTGTAAGTGCATAAATTTTGTGTTAATACAAGTTTGTATTATTGAAAAAAAATACTTTTATATGAACACTTTTATCAGAAAATTCGATCATATTTTTTAATATATCCAATAACTTTATAATTTTTTTTATTACTATTATTAATTTATTTTTCAAATTCATGAAATATGTATCTTATTTTTAAGTTTGCATATATGTTTATATATATATAATATATCTTATGATTTAATTCCTTTAAAACTTTTAAAACTGATTGTACTTATTTAATTTAAACATTTCTATATTTCTGATTGTTATTAATATTAATTTTTTAAGTATTTTATACAGCATTGCTTTTCAATCAATGAGTCATATAATGAATGAGTTTACAGGCGGAAAAAATCTGTTAGTAATATTAGAGAAGTTAAATAGAATTATTTACTAAAATAGAATATTTTATTGAAATCGAATGCTCGAATCGAACCTCTTAACTTTGCGGCAGAGAATGCAAGAAACATTATCTATTTGCTAGATAATACTCTAGCTATAATAGTAGTTTTCAATAATTATTTACTTAAAAGATTGAACTAAAATTCCATAGATATTTTTAAGAATATATGTTTGGAATTGGAGAATTTTCTAAGACTTTTAAAATCGGAGAAGTATAAGCCTTTTAACTCTTGTGTTAATAAACATTGATTGCGTGAATTCTAAGCCTTTTTTTCTAATGCCTTACAATATTTTTCGCATAGCAACATCGGTTGGAATTCTCCAATGTTCTAAAGCTTGTTTTCCTGGAATTCTCGAAAATTCTCGATCTTTATTCTCTTACGTCATGCAAGACTTTCGGTATAACAACACCTATGCATTGTTGCTAGCTAAGGAAGCACGCGACGAGTTTCACTCTCTCAGTGAACCTATCTCAGTGAAGACGCCATGACACGGATCACCGCTTGTCTTAGCAGGACCGCCATGGAACAATCGGTATCTCTCAGTAGAGCAGCCACGGAACGATCAAGCCTTCAGTTTCGTGTGCGTATTCAACAGACCTGTAGGCTCATTGTGCTTGCATCATTTAGTCAGACTTTACAGCTATAAGCTAGTTACTCAGTTACACTAAACAATGAAGCCATTATATTCAATACACGTTCAATTCTCAAGTGTGCAATAATTGAAAGCAGTCAATAGCGCTGACTGCATTAAAAGAACGGACAGGACTATCCGACAAAGCAACTACGTCTCAGTGAATACCAAATAAAAGGCCAACAAGACCTTCCTACTAATGTGCAACTAGCACAGGCAATAGGAC